AGAGGTTATTAACATACAATTACTATTTTAAAAATAATTATCACAAAGATTATTTCTGGATTGTACCAAATTATAAAATAAACTTGAAAAAAAAATTCAACCCGAATTTGAACCTTGGACCTTTCGTACGAAAACTTTCGCGATAATTTATCATTTATATATCATGGACATTTACACTAAAATAATTGGTTTAGTTCATTTTGTTATAATTTTACCAAAATTTTCGGTTTCTTTAACTATTAACGATAAATATCTAATAGATTGTTATTATTTATCGATTCGTTAAAAGAATCACTCATTTTTAATTATATTTATCCTAATTAAAAGAATAAGATAATTAATTAAAATTGTCACTAATTTAAAACAACTAAAAAAACGGTAATTTGTGTAAGAAGAACGTATATATAGACAAAGTTTGAGCACGATGCTGTAGGAACTCAATTGTGTAGTCAATTTTTTCTACGACCCATAAACGAAAACCTTCAAAATTTTAAAATTAATTTAAAGGTTAAGATAAAATAAATATTTTAAAAATATTTTAATTAGTCCTCGTCCTGGATTTGAACCCCGGACCTTTGGCATGAAAACTCACTACTCTATCTTTGTAATACCGAGACAAACAACTTCTTTTTTTAATACTGATAATTAGATTGGTTTAGTGTCAATAAAATTTACGATTTATTTGTAAATATCTTGTGGAATGCTATTATTTTTTTTATCGATTCTTCACAAAAACACATTTTAAATTTTATTTATTCTCAATAACTAAAAAATATAATGACAATTAGTTTGGCACAAATGTCATTTATTTAAAATTTAAAAAAATAGTAGTCCGATCTTTCTAGAATGAATATTAAATTTTATATCCATTCAGTAGAATGTAATGGCTTACTTTTAGGTTTTATAGTCTCTGCTTAGAATAATATGTATAATATCCGTGTGGCTGTAGAATTTTTAGTTGGCGGGCTACTAATCGTTTGGTGGATTTAATAATAATAATGCTCTCCATAATTCACCCCCTTACGAGTAAATTTTAACTCCAAAAGCTTTGCTTGTCCGGGAAAAGAACGGTTATTATTATTATTTGCCATGGCGTTCCGGGACGACTTAAAGATGATTTATGGTGCCTTTTGACTTACACCATCTTCGCAACGATAACGCATGGTGATTTTTATAATATGGATATCAAATCAACAGAAATTTCTGCTAATACGGCATCCATCAAATCCTATAGAGGACCATGCAAATAAATTCACATGGTCTTCTGTAGGATTTAAAGCCGTGTCTGAACCACGAAATCGTTCGCAAATGAATACGAGCGCGTTAGACACCTACGCCATCGATCCGACACACATTATACACATCAAATAAGTTATGTATGAATACGGAGAAAACAACATTTGTTCATTTTACACCTCGACCGATAACTCCATACAACAGAGCCAGAACAGAAAATTTTTGGGAATTCATATTGACGCTTCGCTAACATGGATGCAACATATAGATGAAACTTGTAAAAAAGTGTGTTCCTCTTGTTATGCATTGATACGTCTTAAACAATTATGCAATGAAAAAATTCTAATTTCTTACTATTATGGTTTGGTATACTCCCGAATTAAATGCGGTATTATATTTTGGGGATCATCGCCCCATTTAATTACTTTTTAGACTTCAAAAACGGTGTCTCAGAAATATCGCTGGCATTTCTAGATATGCTTCTTGTAGAAATATTTTTAAACAATTAAAAATATTAACGCTGCCCTGTATATATATGGTTGAACTGCTAATATACGTAAAAACTAATTTAAATATGTTTATGACAAATGCAGATATTCACGATTATGGTACCAGAAATAGCGATTCTTTAGTAATTCCGTCTCACAATTTGACGTTATATGAAAGAAGTCCTTATTTTTTAGGAACTAAGTTGTATAATAAACTGGATCGGACTCTTAAAGAAATAAATAGTACTAAATACTTTAAACGTAAAATAACCGCCTTATTTTCAAGGAAAGCATTTTATACTGTTTCTGAGTTCCTTGATTCGTAGATAAATCATCTCATTCATAAATATTATAATTATATTTTGGTTTATAAATAAGTTTGTTTTAGATTTTTTTAAGTTTATTATCTATTTCAGAATTTTAGTACTTTGTATTTTCTATTCTACTTCATTAAATTGTACACCATGTTTCGACTTTTCCCATACCTGTACAAGGTCTCTTGGAATTAAAGATTTATTTATTTATTTATTTATTATGGAATAAATATAACGTTTTATTCGTTCAATAGACTGATATGTAGTTACATATTCATTCTGTAGGTTCTGTAAAAAATAAGTATGAATACATTTTTTTCTACACCCACATGAGTATTAGCTTATCTACAGAACGAAAAAGTATGTCATTGACATTGCGTTTAACTTAACGAATATATTTCATATCCATTTTACCTAGTATGAACACTGCAAAAAAATTAAATCCACCAATCACAGTTCATATTTTGGCCACTCGGCAACTATTATTGTTTAAAATTTTATATGAGTGACCATTCTGTCATACTAATTGTCAGTATATTTTTTAGTTATTAAGATTAAATATACGTAAAAATGAGTTATTCTTGTGTAGAATCGATAAATAATACATACATACAATGTCTACATTTACAAATAAATCTTAAATTTTAATTGAACTACCTATATAAAAATAATTTAATTAGAAATATTAAAACTAAAATCGTAAGTGTGGCGATGGAGGTGACGACACAGCGTTTGTCTTCCGCGGGAGAGGTTTGAGTCTAAATCTCAGCTGGGGACTAATTAAATTAAATCTTTTTTTCATGTTTATTTTATAAATTAGTTAAAGTCATAAATTATTTTAAAATTAGTTATTTTGTCTTAAAAGCCTAAAATAGTTTTTTAAATTTGTAGATTTTCGTTAGTAGGTGGTAGAAAAAATATACTGTACACTTCGAATGGATTGTCCATATCAACTCTTGTTGCACAAACCACTAAACTCGTTCTAATTTGGCTTTCGCATACCCAAGTAACATTTTTAGATTTATCAAAGTATACAAACCCCTTTTCAATTAAGACAGTGATAAAACTTTTGAATCCGCGAGATAGTCTTAGGGCTGCTATAAAAGGGAGAATCCTATAACGGTTCTTAGGAGTATTTTTAAAACAGTATCTTAAAACTAATTAGACTTAAGACAAAGTTCGTAAGAGTATATTAAGAATTTTATTAAACCATTTTTAAATCTTTTTTAAGATATGATAATAAGTGGGATAGGCATGAAAACTTTACAAAACTAATCATTTTTAAGAGAATTTAACTTTAAACTGTTTTAGCTTTATTCTGTTTTATAATACTTTCTGACAGAATGATTTTGCAAACATGTTGAGAAGACTGCCATATTAAAAATTATTTATTATATAGTGTATGTTTGATATTTCTTCAATTTTCAAACACACACCAAAGTATTGTTAAAAGTGGGCAAGGTGGGTCATAATAAATGATGGGCTTTACAATATATAAAATATACGTAAAAAAAGGATTATTATACGGATTCTAATCTATTTACCGAAAGTTATTTAATAGAAAATAATTGTAAATATCGTATATATAGCACTATAAAATGATTACATTTGTCTTCGATGTTTTTCATATGTCTAATTCGGCCAAAACACAGCCTTGGTACACAAATATCTATTTTACCAGTGGTTTCATTACAATAAACTGGAGTAAAGGGTAAAATTATCTCTTGTCCAGTACACTCGTATACACTTGAGTATTAGCCTATATTATTTTTGATTGGAGACGTATACATTTAAAAATGTCTTTTACTTAAAAATAAACATTTAATTTTGATATTTTATTTAACTCAATCAAAACATTAAATTATTATTTTCCATATATATATATATACATGGCTTACACCGGACCTGTATGTACACTAGTAGCTGACAGTGTTGCCGTCAATTGCTGCCACATATTCATTAGTGACATACGTTTTATACATTCATCGTGTTACATATTTGTTGACATAAAGAGATATAAATTTAAAGTGACGTCGTGTATTACTTCGAATGAATAAATCGAGAATGCAATTTTCTAACCTAAAAAAAATCGTGATTAAATATCAAACAAAGTTGAACTTGGCCTTAACTAGAGAAGACAACCTAAGATGGCAACGATATCAATATATCAATATATTTCACAAATATTTTATTATTTTTAGGTTCTCTTCTCAGAAAACTTTCAAATAATGTATCACAAAACTTTTAAGTATATATTTAAGTTTAAGTAACTTTGTTGGTATCTATATTAAAAAAAAATGTATTATATGTTTTATTACTTATCTGAATTAACAAATCGCATTTTAACATTTTTGTCCACGACCACTTAATAATAAATCAATATTCTACCTCCTAACTAAAAGCATATAGTACCCATATATCACGGAGTGAATTATGATAATTCACGCTTTTGTAATTCTGGCATATTCCGGTAGATAACTAAAGATAGGCGATACTTTTCATAACGATATTTTCTAGATCCACCAGCATGTGGATTGAACAATAACAAAGTGAAACAGAAAATTGTTATTATAAATACTCCCGAGTGAGATGAGAAATAAAAATGGCTGCGCCCATAGAGTCGCATATTGTTCTATTGATACAATATGCACATTGGCTTTCTACCCCACTCCAGTTCATTGGTCATTCACGTGGAACCTCTATGTGCGGAGGTTTTTAAATTTCCCGCTGCGTTGTTTGATATCGATTAAAGCGCCACATAGTGGGTCAGATGTTAACTGCGATAAAGCTGGTCGTTGTTAAGCATTAGCTTCTTATGGGCGTTTCCTATCTTTATCTCCCTTATCTCTGTCTCTGTGCTTTGTGGATATTCAAACGTCATTCAAACAACTGTGTCCGCTGGAAATTTTCGATTTTGGCAACACTGATTTCACTGTTAATTGTCAGTTGTAACTGTTGTCAGATTTGTCAATTGTCAGTAATTGCAAAAACAACACAAATTTACAAAGTCGCTAAAAACTGTTTTCATTTTCAGATTAATCTTTTTTGATTGTGATTTTAATAAAAACAAAAATGATCATAACAAAGGAAACATTTGTTGATTTACAAGAAAAACATAGCAAAGTTGTTAAGTTGCTGGAAGAAGACAATAAATCCGATCCAGGAAATGAACCTTTTTTATTAAAGTATTCAGCTAGAGATATTTTGATTGGAATGAAAGCAAATATCGAGAATTTATTAAGGAGCTACTCTGCTGATGATCCATGTCACAAAAAATTAACAGGTAATTGAAATAAATACTATAATGGTGGCATTCAATAAGGGTATTAATAACTATACTCTTTCCCTTCTCTCATACTAATTATTTGTGTGTTTAATTCTAAAATATTGTTATTAAACTGGTCTTGATGTACAGTTTGGAATGTTGATCAATAACAAAAGCATACTTATGAGACGAGGATGCTGTGGTGGATGAGTAAGAATGATTGTATTAGATATATTCTATGAATACTTAACAATAAAGCGGTAGCAAAAAAATGTCCATGCATCCATAATGGCCAATTCAAAGTCATTTTGGATGATATTCAGTCTTTTAATTCACACACCCTTTCCAGCTTCAAATACCTATTTAGAACCAACACTCTTTATTGGGTATAATGCCAGGGTATAGTTGTTAAACTTTGGAATGCTCTTCACAAGTTTTTAATCATCACCATACCCGGTGGTAACTGGTGCATAAGTGCTGTAGAGCTGCAGAACTGACAAAAATTACAAGTATCTCATCTACATTTCACAGAAATTATTTTAGACATTTAAAAATTTACATAAAATAAATTTTGTGGATCATCTCATTAATTTTAATTATTAAATAGTATCTGGCAGCTCTTAAACGTAATGCCGAGACATGACTGGTTTTTGGTATCTCAATTTATGTCAACTCAATTTTTACAATAATTCAACTGATAACATTAACATATAACGTCTATCATAAAACTGAAACTGTGATGTTAGGATAATTGACTTACATAGCTCGATTTAACTTTTAGAACCTTCCCGAAACATTCAGATGTTTCTTGATGTGGAATGACATTTCTAGATATTTCTCAAATATTCTTCCTTCTTCTTTTACTCACTCCTTTACTTATGATGACCCCAGCACACTGTAGGATGAAGGGTAACATTGGAGGGTTTGGGCTGCATTTTTGCCAGATTGGCAAGTTTTGACTATAGTCTGTTGCATATTGATACAATATCGTTTTGTAGATATAGATTATTAGATTGTGTTAATTCGCCAGCTCACATTTTCATTGTACATGAAAGGCATGGATGTAGTTTATAAGTTAATAAACAAGAGATTTTTTTAATATGTGTATCAGTATAAGTTTGCTGCAAAAATAAAGGACAACAGAATATAATTAATGTATAAAGAGTAGTTGAATAAAAGCTGTAAATTTATTTCTTGATATGAGGAAATGCTCACTATAAGAATTAATTTCTGACTAATTATACCTACAACATCTTGATCCTGGTACCTTCACAAGAGAAGAAGTTTTAGTAATTTGATTTAATAGGTATATTAAAATGTCTTTTATATAATTATCAAAAATAAGGTCTATGAAGTTAGTAGGTACTGTTACTCGTAAATGCGAATTTTTATAAAAACACAATTGGTATTCATTTGTATATCCAAAAGAAATTAGTTATAGATGCAGATATGAGCTGGCAATACTGACTCCGTTTCCAAAAAATTAAATAGTGGGTACTATGCAATTCTCCAATTAAAAAATATGTTGGACACCAAACAGCTTCTTCAAGTTTACTATGTGATGGCATATTCCCATTTAGCTTACAACATATTGCTTTGGGGAAATGCTACCGGTACGTTAAGAGTTTTTGTTTGTCAAAAAAGACTAATCAGAATAATTTTTAACCTAGATGCTAGAAGTACCTGTAGAGATCTTGTTAAAATATATAATATACTGACTTTTCCAGCAATATATTTTCTAAAGTGTGCTATATATGTTAAAACAAACATCTCCAAATTTTCCCATAACTCAACCATAATTATAGTACTCGTAGTGGCAATTTACTGCATACCCCCTCATGTTTCAACCATATTCGAAAAAAGTTCATACTACTGTGGAATAAGGTTATTCAATCATCTACCTACCTCTCTAATATAAATTAATAGTCTGGGCTCATTTAAATGCAAATTAAAAAGCTATTTATCCCAAAAATGCCCCTATAGCATTCATGAATTTCTCCTGTAGTTTTTGTAGTACAAGGTACAGCCTATGTCATATGGGTGTTTTCATGCATATTAGACCTAATTTTAATTTTGTGTATTTATTGGTAAATTGTATATTTAAATGTATTAGATTTTATATCTGTTTTGTAAATGCATATACTATTTACATCTTTACATGTAAATGACTTATCCTTATAATGTATATGATCTAAAAGGATTAATACTAGTTATTTATGGTACTAGTGTGTTATGTTGAAAATAAGTCACGTGAGTATAAATTCTCAAGTGACTTAGGAAACATAACACACGAGTGGCATACAATGTTTTATCCAACAAACAAGTGGAAGAAATCGTTTTTTTATGAGATAGTAATTAATAAGTTTTGTGATCAAATCAAAGCTACTTGCGTCTCAGAACCCTATAAATGTCAGAATGACGACATTGACTTTTTACATTTTGGTCAATGACTTCAAATTCAAATAAACCGTTAGCGTTTTCCTTTAATTTCAATATTAATGTGAATTCTGCTTGTAATAGTAATAAATAAATAGAATACCACTTTAAATATGAACGTTATAATCCATAACTCACTAGTGAGTTATATAATCCATAACTCACTAGTGAGTTATGGATTATAACACACTAGTGTGTTATTAAATAGTTTACTTGTCAAAAGTGGCATCAATAATGACAGTCATAACTGCCATGTGTTGGATAAAGTATTATTATTAACAAAATAAAAGCTCAAAATATAAACAATTATTAACCTAAGCACTTTTGCAATTTCATATTGAAATTGTTGTTCCAAACATTATTTTCATTTGTTCAGGTCTTATTTTAGTTTTTTCACCCAACAGAAATTAGTTATTAACAGTAAACCTAAAATTTAAACAATATATTGCATTTTGTTAAAACTAACTACTGCAATAGTTTGACCATACATTATTTTCGTTTACCCAGACTTTATTTTTGTTTGTCCAGGCATTATTTTTCTTTGTCCAGGCATTATTTTTCTTTGTCCAGGCATTATTTTTGTTTGCCTAGCCATTATTTTTGTTTGACCAGGCTTTATTTTCGTTTGTCCATCCAACATAAGTTAGTTATTAACAATTAAATAACCCAAAATATTAACAATTCTTAACATAACTTCATTTAATTGCAATTTGATAACTACTAATTATTTTTGTTTGTCCAGGACTTATTTTCATTTGCCCATCCATAGACATTAGATATTAACAATTAAGTCTAAAATATAAACAATTATTAATATAAGTATTTCTAATTCCTATTTATTAAAATTACCTATTGGACTTGTTTGTCCACTCATTAATTTCTTTAAGAATTGTTTATATGTTGGATTCTTTAATTGTTACCAATTTATTTTGGGTAGGCAAATGAAAATAATGAGTGGTTAAATGATTCCAGTAGTTTTAAGAAACGGCTACCAAAAAAATTATCTCAATCTTTAAAAAAGCCCTAGAAGTGGCAAAATCTATAACAACTCTAAAACAATACAAAAAACGTAAAAATTGGATAACTAATGGATTAATAACATCTATAAAAAACAGAGATAGATTAAAACGAAACCTGATAAAAAATTGTAGCATAGAACTAAATAAAGAATATAAATCATATCGAAATTATCTTCAAAAGCTAATTATTAAACAAAAAAATTATTTTTACCAAAATGAAATCAACAAAAACAACATAAAGAAATTATATTGTATTATAAAGGAATGTACAAATGAAAACCAAACTAAAAATGAACAAATTATAATTCATCGAGATGACAGCACAAAATTTAAAGATAAGACGGATATGGCAAATTACTGCAACAATTACTTTTCTAGGATTGGTCTAGATATGGCAAAAAAAATTCCAGATACAGACGACCATACGAGTTGAAATACCTTAATCCACATTCTCTTTTTCTATTCCCAATAAACAGAAATGATTTAATTACTCACATCTCTGCATTAAAAACAAACAGTGCTCCTGGATACGATGGTATATTAACACATATAATTAAAAAAACTCATCTAGAGACTCTTGTACCTCTAACCCATATCTTTAATTTGTGCTTTGAAACAAGGACAATTCCTACTCATTTTAAATCCACAGTAATAGTTATTATACACAAAAATGGACTGAAAACAAACATAAAAAACTATTATCCCAGAAGTCTGATAAACGGTTTTGCCAAAGTATTTGAAAAATGTCTAAAACAAAAATTAATTGAATTCTTAAATCAGTTCATATGAGTTCATATAGATACGAATTGCGAATTACAAATTCACAGAAAAAAAAAAACGCAGGTTTTGTGCTATTTCCATAGCCCTCAGAAGGTCTAGATACCGCATCGTAAAAACATTTTGACCCCCTATATGATGGGCGCCATGATAAATAAATGTCAATAAATTTTAAGTTGGCAGTACTGACAAGACAGAATCGGCGCAAGTTTAGTAATAAGCGTAAGATCGGCGTTCGACGTATATAATCGATTTTATTATCTGTTGTGTTGTTTATTTTGTTCTTCTAGTAAAGGTTTTATTTAAAACATTATTTTTTAGTTTAGTCGTTTAGTGTTTTATTTTAATAAAAAACATTTGTGGTTTGGTGTTAAATTTTTACAGGATTTTCAAAATCTCTTTTTGTTTTGTACGTGAATGTAACAATGCATCTAACAGTAGAAGATACAAGGAAGGAATAACATTTCATGTGTAAGTTTTCACAAATATTTGTGTATTTACAAAATCAAATAATTTGTATGTTTTGTTGTAGCATACCAAAAAATGTTAGGAAAGAATAACTGATAGCCATAGGAAGACCATTGAATCATTTTGTGACTTTAGTATAAGCCCAGAAAATTTGGGGATACCAGCTGAAACGGCAAATGTGTTATTGGCTCCTTGTTAGTGACCTATTGTACAATTTTTCAAACACAAGTTCCATGATCCATGATCCTTTGAACTTGGCTGCACCGTACTGATGAAGACCAATAGTCAGAAAAACGTGTCGACCGTTATTTCTTTTTT